GCTTTCAGACTGGAGGCCAAGGGCCAGCTGGTAGTGAGCTGAGAGATTTTGGACCTAACCTTGTAAAACCCTACAGGGTGAAAAGAAGAGGACTTATCCAGTGTAAATCCGTAGGTTGGAGCAGAGAGAGAGCTCAGTCTGGCTCCACATTGGCTGCCTGAAAGAGGTTTGGACACTTTTCTAATTGCTTGGACCTGACGCCAACCGTACACCCTTCTCTCCCTCACAAAACCATATCCGCTGCATCAGCTGCGTGTGAGGTTTCCTATGTGTCTTTGGCCCTGTGTGTGTGTGTCGGGGTGTGTGTTTGTGGTCAGGGAAACTATAGAGAAGAGTCATAAACCCTAGAAAGAAAGTCTCTTTGTGAACTGTGCGTGTTTCCAAACTACTCCTGACCTCACTTCAGATCCGCTCAGCTGACCACACTTTTCAGTCTGTGTGTGTGTGTGTGTGGGGGGGGGGGGGGGGGTGTTGATCAGAGAGGCTTTAGGGGAAGCAGCTTTACAACTGACTCTGACAATTTGGCACGCCGATCCTTCCAGTCTCGCCATCGTCCTTGAAACCAGATCGACCTGACAGGAAGTGTCTGCCTCTGTGTGCGAGTTCATTTTGTGTCAGTTTTCTCGTCTCCTGGATCTCTTCCCACTTCATAAACCCGTATTTTACTCTCTGCTCTCTGTTGCTCGAGCTCAGCCGTCCTGTTTCCATTTTCCACACACAGAACCTTGAACCATGCAGCCCAGGTTGGCAGTGTCAGCAGCATAGTGCCCTTTATTTCCACCTGTATTTGCACCGTTGTGTGGAACACCAGCCTCATAAACTGAGGTCAGGTTTTTCCGAGCACTTACGCACAATCCTCACATTTAGCCACAAAGGCTGCAGAGCACTTTGATCAAGCAAGGCGCAATGTGGAACTCCTCACAGACGTGCATTTCTAGCTTCGCTATCTGCCCTCCCAGTCACACTTTAGCAAACTGATACCAGGGACTGGATCTGCTCACGCATTAGCTGCTTTCCTTCTCCTTTTTATGGAGGGATAAAATATGAGCCTCTAAATGTCTGGCAGTTGGATGTTGGTGATTACAGAATGTAAAGCAGTTGTTTATGGGTCGAGTTACGGTTGAGAAGCAGCGGTGGCCCACACTGAACTTGAAGGAGGACAGGTGGAAAAGATGAAAGGTCCCAGGATGAAGGAGAAGATGCGATCAGGACGGAGGAGAACAGGGCGTCTCAGAGACGAAGCAGTAAAAGAGAGGATGTTTAAAACAGGAAGGGTTCTGCCGTAAACATCGCCTTCACTTCTGGGCCTGTGATCCTGAACCAGTTAGAGGGAACCTGACAGGAAAACAGATAAAAGGATTCGATCTAAGACCGTTTCCTCTGGAATAAGGATGCTTTTCACTCATCAGTGTTCTGCAGTGTTTCAGGAACCAGCAGCAGGTTCCAGGTTGGAACCGAATGACGATGCATGAATCCAGAATCTATGTTCAACTCTGCATCGCCTCAAATCTCCCTCTTTTATTTCTAGTTAGACGTTTTTCTGACATTTCAAGATTTATATCAGATCATTTAAAGGTTTTCTTGTGCAAAAACACATTCAAACATGATAGCATAACAAAGCTGAAGTGCTAACCAGATATACAGCAGCAGCAGCCATTCATAATGGCTTCCTTCTCAGCCGAATGGCAGCTACTTCCCTCCACCTCCCAGCCCCTCCTCCTCCTTTCTCTGACTCCACCCCCTCACTGAACTACAGGCTCCGACCAGGAGATGGCGCTTCTCTTTAGATCTAAATGTCCACAAATTATGACAGAAAGAATATTTTAGTAAAAGACCAATGTTTAAAAACGAATTGTAGGGACCAGCCAAGAACCCATCAAGTAAAATGGGAAAGTTTTAATGGTTACTACTGTACCAGTATGGCGTAGAGATATTGCGCCATGCTAGAAACCAAGCTGGGCTGATCCTGAACGGACAACCTGTTGCTTTATACCCAGATTTCACCCCATCTGTTGCCGGGGCTCAGGTTGCCTTCACTGAAGCACCAAAGCTTCTTCATGATCAACCAAAGGTCCAGTTCAGCATAATGTTTCCTGCATGCTTTGGCATTACCTGTAATGGAACAGAACACGACTGTCTGGATCCTGCTGATGCCTTGGACTTCATAAAAACGCATTTCCTGAAAACCTGTAGAGAGAGACGGACCGCGCTACGTTGGAGTGGGAGAACGCGGTAGAGGTTCGTTGCGGGGGATTTGTTGAGGGATGTGAAAACCCATAAAAGCCTCTGTAAAGATGCTAAGCCAGGTCTCTGGATTGTAAAGCTGCATCTCTCCTGATGATGATCCAGGAGCTGAAGCTTGACATTCAGCCGCTGAGCCACAGGTTGGTAAACCGGTTTCCCTTCATGTTCAGTGTAGACAGGAAGTCCTCTGGTTCCCTCTGGCTTCCCTGTTTAGATGTGCTGTACAGAAAGCGCCGCTCTCAGTTCCTGACAGGAAGGTTCTGGACGGCTCCAGGTGTGAGCGGCGCTCTCTGCAGTCGATACGACCTACAGGGGAGCAGATTTAACTGATGATGGAATGTCTGAAAGGTTGAAGACTTCCTCTGCCAGAGGAAATGGAGAATCATCCAGTATGTCTGCCTAGCAGAACCTCATCTAAACGCGTGAAGCACCTCTAAAATGTTCTGAGCAGCAGATACACTTGTTCAGGGGAAAGTTCACCGCCCACTTGTTGCAGCAAAGCAGCTGAGCTAACACCCCCCCCCCCCAGCCTTACCAGGGAATATGATGACTTAGTGATGACCCCACAGCATCTCTCTCTCCTTTCACACTCCTCTTGTCTTTTTCTCAGCCCTCCTCCTTGGCCGTTCACATAACCCTGCCAGACTCCAGAGGGGGAAGGAAAGGGGGATGAGAAAAGAGGAGAAGGGAGTATCTAGATGAGCAGGGAGGGATGAGAAATGACCAGGAACCATTCCGATAGGGCAAACTCTGGATGTGTGAGCGAGCAGCAATAGCTCAGGGTAAACACCAACTAGCATGGGAACAGTTTGAGCAGAGTGCCGCCACCCCCATGGTTAGATCTCCCCCTCAGCATCATCGCTCCAGATCGCCCGCCGTCTGTTTAAACAAGCCAAGACGTTAGTTTAGTTTGTACCAGTGGAAGGTATCTGTGTCTAAATAACCACAGGAGAGGCTGAACCTTTGGTGGCCTCCAAACTACAAGCTTTCAATGTTGTTCAGAGGAAATCTGGCCTGTTTCCTTCACCTGGCAGTCCTTCCATTCCGGCGTCCATGTCTGACATCAGAGCGACGCTCATTTCAACAGGCCTCTGTTTATTTCATTAATGGGACTAATCCATTAGTGAAATAATCAATTTAGTGTTTGATTAATCATTAACTGGAGTATAGAGACTCTAAAACACGCCTTTAGCGGACAGAGCGACTCACTGAGAGCAGGAATTATACCAAGATTGGAAAAAAATTATATAAATATTTTGCATTTATGATTAAAAACACACTTGGATCTGTCAGTATGCTCTATCCTGAAAAAGCTTTAGTTACACCTGGTTTCATTTAGTAAAAAAACATCTTTGAGGAATCTTTGGCTTTTAATTAATTCATTATTAAATCAGATAATCAATTAATAAAAAAAATAATCAACAGATAAATGGCAAAATAATGTTTAGTAGTTCTATTACCATTTACTGTCAGATTGTGAAGCACTGAACAACGTTTCAGATCAAATGTTTGACACGTATGGAAACTTATTTCCTACTAGCCTGTAAAGGAGGCTGCAACCAGGTGTGATGCTGAGCCTCCCGGTTTCACCGCGGATTCATTACTTATACACCATAAAGCTTTTCCTGGGAAGCCGCTTGGCTGTGATGCAGGCTGCATTCAGTCTCTTTAGGTGATGATTTGGGATTTATTGGTGTTTTAACTTAAAAAGCCTGATGGGATCCAATAAGCCATAATTCTCCTGGCATTGATGCTCATGATGCTCGTTTATAAAACCGAGATCTCAGTCGTGATCCTGACTTAAAGTGTCATAAATGACTTTAGCTTTGCACTCCTTTGCTTGGGTCAGCCATGGCTTGAACTGCTTCATGTTGCACTAAATGCTCAGATTAACCTCAGATGTGCCTGTAAACTCTGAATGCATGTATTTTCTTGTTTGGAGGTCTGACTCCAGCTCAGTCCCACGCATCGCTCTCTGTACTTTCCCCAATATCTGCCCTTTAGATGATGTGATTAATGTACGATACATCAGCTGCAGAGAGGGTGACAGACAGAGACGGGTGAGAGTACCACAGCCCTGGGAAAGGACAGATAAGGGAAGCTAGTAGCCGAACTCTGGGTCATTTGGCAGGGGGAGAGTCCAGGCTAGCTGGGCATAGCCATGAGAAAAAGTGGGAATCCCCCAGAGGACAGCAGCACTGACCCATCAGGGAGAAACAGAGCAGGAGAGCAGCAAAGGCTGCTGGGAACACATTCCCCCGCATCCTGCCAGGATTCTCTCAACCTCTGTGGACACCAACGCTGCTGCGCCTCAATGCAGCTTCAGCTCAGGAGCTTCAGGTCAGAAGCTAAGCCTGAAGTCGGCCTGCTGGTGGGAGTTGTAATGAAGTTGGCCTGCTGGTGAGAGTTGTAATGAAGTTGGCCTGCTGGTGAGAGTTGTAATGAAGTTGGCCTGTTGGTGAGAGTTGTAATGAAGTTGGCCTGCTGGTGAGAGTTGTGCTGAAGTTGGCCTGTTGGTGAGAGTTGTGCTGAAGTTGGCCTGTTGGTGAGAGTTGTAATGAAGTTGGCCTGTTGGTGAGAGTTGTAATGAAGTTGGCCTGCTGGTGAGAGTTGTGCTGAAGTTGGCCTGTTGGTGGGAGTTGTAATGAAGTCGGCCTGTTGGTGGGAGTCGTGCTGAAGTCGGCCTTCTGTTGCAGCTGTACTGAAGTTGGCCTGCTGGGGGGAGTTGTAATGAAGTCGGCCTTCTGTTGCAGCTGTACCTGGAAGCGGTGGGTTCATTTCATCCCAGTGTGTTTACGGTCTCTGAGTGTGAACTGTGGATGAACCTGGTCAAAGCCGCTTTTATGATGTGGAGCGTTTTCATTAAAATGACCCCCCCGCACACACACACACACACCATCACTCCTAATTAAAAGGCTGTGGGAGGCTGGTGGTACCACCTCATATAGCAGACAGGACAGTACCTAGCCTGGGGGTTAGCATAATGTTTACCGTCCCACAGCGTTGCCACACAGGAAGACCTGACAGCACCTCAGTTCTTGATGGTTTCTTATTTAGAGGTTCTGGATTCGTTCCAAAAATGTAATCCTTGTCTCAAACATGAACCATCTGCAGGAAGCAGACCTAAAGGTGTAAACTAGGAAGGCACAGGAAAACTCTAACATGGTTTCAATGTCAAACTTTGATGGACTGATTATCTGATGAGTGAAGGCTGCTCAGGGTGTGAAAACTTTCCTCCTCAGGAGGAAGAGGCTGAGGTTGGGCCTGAGGAGGAGGAAGAGGCTGAGGTTGGGCCTGAGGAGCAAGAAGAGGCTGAGGTTGGGCCTGAGGAGGAGGAAGAGGCTGAGGTTGGGCCTGAGGAGGAGGAAGAGGCTGAGGTTGGGCCTGAGGAGGAAGAAGAGGCTGAGGTTGGGCCTGAGGAGGAGGAAGAGGCTGAGGTTGGGCCTGAGGAGGAGGAAGAGGCTGAGGTTGGGCCTGAGGAGGAAGAAGAGGCTGAGGTTGGGCCTGAGGAGGAAGAAGAGGCTGAGGTTGGGCCTGAGGAGGAGAAAGAGGCTGAGGTTGGGCCTGAGGAGGAGGAAGAGGCTGAGGTTGGGCCTGAGGAGGAGGAAGAGGCTGAGGTTGGGCCTGAGGAGGAGGAAGAGGCTGAGGTTGGGCCTGAGGAGGAAGAAGAGGCTGAGGTTGGGCCTGAGGAGGAAGAAGAGGCTGAGGTTGGGCCTGAGGAGGAAGAAGAGGCTGAGGTTGGGCCTGAGGAGGAAGAAGAGGCTGAGGTTGGGCCTGAGGAGGAGAAAGAGGCTGAGGTTGGGCCTGAGGAGGAGGAAGAGGCTGAGGTTGGGCCTGAGGAGGAGGAAGAGGCTGAGGTTGGGCCTGAGGAGGAGGAAGAGGCTGAGGTTGGGCCTGAGGAGGAGGAAGAGGCTGAGGTTGGGCCTGAGGAGGAAGAAGAGGCTGAGGTTGGGCCTGAGGAGGAAGAAGAGGCTGAGGTTGGGCCTGAGGAGGAGGAAGAGGCTGAGGTTGGGCCTGAGGAGGAGGAAGAGGCTGAGGTTGGGCCTGAGGAGGAAGAAGAGGCTGAGGTTGGGCCTGAGGAGGAGGAAGAGGCTGAGGTTGGGCCTGAGGAGGAAGAAGAGGCTGAGGTTGGGCCTGAGGAGGAGGAAGAGGCTGAGGTTGGGCCTGAGGAGGAGGAAGAGGCTGAGGTTGGGCCTGAGGAGGAAGAAGAGGCTGAGGTTGGGCCTGAGGAGGAGGAAGAGGCTGAGGTTGAGCCTGAGGAGGAGGAAGAGGCTGAGGTTGGGCCTGAGGAGGAGGAAGAGGCTGAGGTTGGGCCTGAGGAGGAAGAAGAGGCTGAGGTTGGGCCTGAGGAGGAAGAAGAGGCTGAGGTTGGGCCTGAGGAGGAGGAAGAGGCTGAGGTTGGGCCTGAGGAGGAGGAAGAGGCTGAGGTTGGGCCTGAGGAGGAGGAAGAGGCTGAGGTTGGGCCTGAGGAGGAGGAAGAGGCTGAGGTTGGGCCTGAGGAGGAAGAAGAGGCTGAGGTTGGGCCTGAGGAGGAGGAAGAGGCTGAGGTTGGGCCTGAGGAGGAAGAAGAGGCTGAGGTTGGGCCTGAGGAGGAGGAAGAGGCTGAGGTTGGGCCTGAGGAGGAGGAAGAGGCTGAGGTTGGGCCTGAGGAGGAGGAAGAGGCTGAGGTTGGGCCTGAGGAGGAGGAAGAGGCTGAGGTTGGGCCTGAGGAGGAAGAAGAGGCTGAGGTTGGGCCTGAGGAGGAGGAAGAGGCTGAGGTTGGGCCTGAGGAGGAAGAAGAGGCTGAGGTTGGGCCTGAGGAGGAGGAAGAGGCTGAGGTTGGGCCTGAGGAGGAAGAAGAGGCTGAGGTTGGGCCTGAGGAGGAGGAAGAGGCTGAGGTTGGGCCTGAGGAGGAAGAAGAGGCTGAGGTTGGGCCTGAGGAGGAGGAAGAGGCTGAGGTTGGGCCTGAGGAGGAAGAAGAGGCTGAGGTTGGGCCTGAGGAGGAGAAAGAGGCTGAGGTTGGGCCTGAGGAGGAGGAAGAGGCTGAGGTTGGGCCTGAGGAGGAGAAAGAGGCTGAGGTTGGGCCTGACCTCAGCTCTCCACCCTGATTAGCTCAGGTTGACTTTAACACCTTATTGGATCAGAGGCGTCGGGGGAAAAACATCCGCTGCTGTTAGACTGAAGCCAGAGATGTTTATTAGAACTGCTTATAGAAATACACATTATAGAAAACATCTTAGCTGTTACTTTTACTCCATCATGAATCCAATTTCCTATTAAAGGATATTTTCCTTGTTTAATGTAAAGTAAAGGGATCAGATGTTCCTCATGTTGACTGGTTAGTTAGTGGCGTTCTTAGAGCCGGTAAATATCAGAGCAGAAGGCGTCAAACGAAGCCCTGCACCAAAAACGGTACAGTGGAGGCCGGTCTAAGTTGGATGCAGATGTTTTGATCTACCGTATTTTCACGACCATAAGGCGCACAGGACTAAAAGGCGCACTCTCAGTTATGTGTCCCATTTCTGTATTTAACACACACATAAGGCGCACCGGACTATAGGGCGTGTTTTTTATATACAGGTACATGTCCTCTCAGGTGGATTTTCCCACTTAAAAACATATTAAAACTACTTTATTCCCACTGATCACAGCAAATAAAGCTGCAAGGTGTATTTATTACAAAGTATTATTCAAACCTGGGAGCTGGCCATGAGAGACACATCGCTGATGACACAGGGCTGTGATTACTCCTCTGATACAATTTATTGACGCATAAATTAACTTAAAACATAGGCAGGATAATAATCTGGATGAACTGACTGCAATGATTAAATTTTCAGGTGGACTTTCTCGCTTAAAAAGATTTAGATTATTTAGATGAAAAAAACACCTGCCGAGGTGAGTCCGGATGCGCCGCGGCCCAGAGGCAGCTGTTGAATTAAGTTTTTTAGGTAGAAAAATAGAGCGGGAGCAAAACTGAGTATGATTGTACTTTATTCATGTATTTATTACAGAGTATTAATCAAACCCCTCATCCTCTGTTTCTGAATTAAACAGCTGCGCTAAATCAGACATGCCAGTTTCCCCTTCTTCTTCGTTTATTGACACATAAATTAACTTAAAACATAGGCAGGATAATAATCTGGATGAGCTGACTGCAATGATTAAATTTTCAGGTGGACTTTCTCACTTAAAAAGATTTAGATTATTTAGATCAGTGGTCTCCAACCCTGGTCCTCAAGATCTACTGTCCTACAGATTTTAGATGCATCCCTGCTTCAACACAGCTGAATCAAATGAATGGCTTGAAAAGGTAATCAATCATTTGATTCAGCTGTGTTGAAGCAGGGAAAATCTGTAGGACAGTAGATCTTGAGGACCAGGGTTGGAGACGCTGCTACAAGCGGCCCATCCTTGCGTCCCATAGTTGCAGCGTCCCATAGTTGCAGCGTCCCATAGTTGCAGCGTCCCATAGTTGCAGCGTCCCATAGTTGCAGCTGCCCATAGTTGCAGCGTCCCATAGTTGCAGTGTCCCATAGTTGCAGCTGCCCATAGTTGCAGCGTCCCATAGTTGCAGTGTCCCATAGTTGCAGTGTCCCATAGTTGCAGCGTCCCATAGTTGCAGTGTCCCATAGTTGCAGCGTCCTTGTAGCAGCGTCCCATAGTTGCAGCGCCCCATAGTTGCAGTGTCCCATAGTTGCAGCGTCCCATAGTTGCAGCGCCCCATAGTTGCAGTGTCCCATAGTTGCAGCGTCCCATAGTTGCAGCGTCCCATAGTTGCAGCGTCCCATAGTTGCAGCGTCCTTGTAGCAGCCCGTCGTTGCAGCAGCATATCCTTGAGGCGACGCTCGATATGGCGGCCCATCCTTGCGTCCCATAGTTGCAGCGTCCCATAGTTGCAGCGCCCCATAGTTGCAGTGTCCCATAGTTGCAGCGTCCCATAGTTGCAGCGTCCCATAGTTGCAGCGTCCCATAGTTGCAGCGCCCCATAGTTGCAGTGTCCCATAGTTGCAGCGTCCCATAGTTGCAGCGTCCCATAGTTGCAGCGTCCCATAGTTGCAGCGTCCTTGTAGCAGCCCGTCGTTGCAGCAGCATATCCTTGAGGCGACGCTCGATATGGCGGCCCATCCTTGCGTCCCATAGTTGCAGCGTCCCATAGTTGCAGCTGCCCGTCGTTGCAGCAGCATATCCTTGAGGCGACCCTCGATATGGCGGCCCATCCTTGCGCCCCATTGTTGCAGCACCTCATTGTTCAAACAGTCCGTCGTTGCAGCCCTACCTTCCAGTCGGCCGTTAAAAGCTGAACAGCAGAAGCATCATCAGAGCTGCAAAAGTTTTCTAATTATTAGAGTTGAAAGAACTTGTTAAACAGGGATTAAAGAGTTTAAAACGAACGCTGAGAACTCATTGACGTGATCACCATCAGATCTGAACCTAAAAGGCCTCCAGCTGAAGGGGAGGATGTTTGATGACCTGTGGGTCTCTGACCATCCATGGTGCCGCTCTGTCCGACCAGCAGCCCTCCTCTGCTTTAAACTCCATCAGCCTCATCATTTGTTTCAGATTTCTCCAACAGCGAATTAATTTTATATGAAAATGCCGACATACTCCATGTGTCCATGTGTCCCGCCAGACTGATCGGGTTCCAGCAGATCAGTGTTTGCAGAAGCTGATAAGGAAGAGGCTCAGTGGGCTTCATCACATCCGACCTGCAGGAGGACGTTAAATGGACCAGGGTTCAGAGCCTTTAGCCCCATTTACACTACCCTTTAAAAACCGCACCAAGAACAGTCCGAACACAGCAACCCAGATAACTGCTCAATGGAACGCAGCTGAACTGGTCTGTACCAGAAACAACCGAACTGTGCTAAATCTAGTACTGGTTCATCAGTAGGACTGGGAGTGGTTCATCTACGGCTCGGTTCTCTGGTAACAAAGAGCGCATCAGCCGACCGCATCATCAGTCAGCCGTCTCATTTCACAGGTTCTCCGTCTGGCTTTGCGATTCACAGATCTCTTCTTCTGTTCACAACACAAACTTCTCAGCTTCTCAACAGTAAATGGCATCAGAAGAGCGTGGTGCGACCGGGGATAAAGCAGAGGCTGCGGCTCTCATTTAAATATCGGCGGAGGACGCTATCCAGCCGCATAAGCTCCTGACTGTTATGGGCTCCACCATTTTTGTTTGCATAATTCTTGCCTTGAAATCTGTAGCATCGCCACCGATAGGAGGCGAGGAGCCGTGCTGGCGTGATGTCTAGATGGTCTAGGGAACAAAAATCGGCCCGGTGAACAGATCCCAGCTCGGTCCGAACTCGGCACGGATTGGTTCCACAGGGGGGTGGAAATGGGGCAAACATCTGTCTCAGACAGCAGCGGGTCTGCGTGTGATGATGTCAGTGTTGGTTACAGCGGGACAGTCAGGGAGCAGAGCCAGATCTAAAAAAGGCCCGCTGAGGTCCGTCCCCTCGGCCTGGGTGACGGTCCCGCTGTTAGCGTGTGGGGCTTCCTGTCGGGGGTGTTTAGGCAGGTCTGAGTAGATAATGGGCTGGGAGGCTGGGCTGTGGTTGTGTAATGGAGACAGATAACCTAGCTTCACTGTAAACACCTGTCCATACATTCTGATTCATGTTATACACAAACGCAGACACACACTCATCAAGGTGTTTGGTCCGCCTGCCTGATGCATGCCAATGTTGTCTTTGCTTTGTCTGCATTGTTTATCACTCTGCTTCAGTCTGTCTCCTTTGCTCTGGGATTACTTTAAATCAGCAATCTGTTGGAATAACCGTCATAAATAAGAAAAACTGATAAAGTTCTGAGATGAGCTCGGTTTGTTGGTTCAGGTCGATTCACAGAGCATCGAAGGAAGCGGCGATGTTTTCACCTACGAGCTGATGAAGGAAGTGAAGGTGTCAAAGTTCAACTTTTATCTTGCGTAGCGGTTTCTGCATCCTGTCTCAGAGCTTTAACCACACATTTGAACTCTCTCATCGTTCCCTCTGCCTTTTGTTCCTCGTTTCTGCTGATTACTCCAACATTAAACATCCACAACATGATAAACAGATTTGTATCTTTAGAACAACGTTTTTTCAATTTGTACTCGTGTTACATCTGCCCTCAAGTACCTTCGCCTAACTCTATTTCTGGAGTTCACTGGGTTAAGAAACAACCACATGTGGTTTAGCTGCCTGCACGGTGCTCCGTGTGTGTGTGTGTGTGTGTGTGTGTGTGTGTGTGTGTGTGTGTGTGTGTGTGTGTGTGTGTGTGTGTGTGTGTGTGTGTGTGTGTGTGTGTGTGTGTGTGTGTGTGT